AAAAAATGGCACGTCGTACGGCCTAACTAAAATTCCCCTAACCCTCATTAGTACATCCGATGGCACGGCGAAACAGACGGGCCCGCTCAGACTCCGACTAATTTGGGGCGATATATTGGCCGCTGGAGCAGCTGCGTCAGGGGGACGCCTTGTGTCTCGCGCGGAAACCGATCTTCGCGGCGGCGGCGGTCGCGCAGCCCCCGGGCAACGCGCGACGCCAAGGCGCAACCAGACCCCGCGACACTTCTTACAACCACACTTCGCATGTAACTGTGATTCAAAACATCTTTCAAGATACGTTCGTTTTGAAGTTTTAAAATTAGTAACTAATAGTTTCGACCGTTGAGAGTCACAATGATGGATTATTTACCTGCATTATTTTTCAATACTTCACAAGACAGAAAATATTTAATAACTCTAAAAGATTTGTTTTAGAACGTAACAACATTTAACCGCAATTATTGTATGCAATAGTTTTCTATCTCATATTACGATCCATAATTAACTTTTTATTATATGAGTGGGTAAAAACCAGAACGGTATAAGTGACATTTTATAAGTTTTGAGAAAAAACGTGTTTATTTATAGATTATATTTCAGTGGCAATGTATTGCCGTGGTTTTAATGATGAAACAAAGCACGACTACTTTGCAGAAATATTAACTTGAGTAAAGAGGTTTTTCAGAATTGGTAAAATGTCACTTGCCGTTATAAAAAAGGGGTAATACAGGAGTTTTAAAACCGCCCTGCTACTTCGTCATGCACTTCTAAGCAACCTTCACAGTAGAGATAGATGGATATTTGAATTGTAATAATTCCCTTCTGAGAACGAAACCAACAGTTTGTAGAAAAAAAACACAAGATTTTCCCATGATACGTTTGATTTTAATTTCGAGGGCAGGGGAAGCTCGCCGGATGCTCGCATCGCCGCGTGCAGAGCAGGGGCGGTGGAGGGGCGCGATCGACAGCGGAGGTCGCGGCTCGCCGTGCCTCGCCTTGCCTCGCCTCTTCGACTCTCGCGATTTGCTAGCTGGCGTCGCCGTCGTTATCCTGATTGGATGATTGGCCGCTGATGGCTGCCCCCGCATCTTGCCAGAGACATCGCTTGGAGCGACGAAGGCTTCGGGACCCCATCTTCGAAAGCACGGCGTAACGGGATTTTTTCTTTGCGGACAGTTTCTTACAGTACGCCCCCTGAGGAGTCATGTACGAGATACGCACCCACGGAAGACGGGCCTTTTAAAATGAATAAATTGGGCGTCTTCTAAGTATATCTTGCAAAGTTCTTAAAAACGCAATTTCCTCACGCACTACGATGCGAACTATGCCATATGATTCAGCTACGTCTGGTACTCAGATGCCTGAATACTTGGAATATTTTTAGGGAAACAATGCCCATGTATTATTAGGCGTTAAATATTGCACGCGGAGGTCTGTTAGTAACAGTGGTTCAGGGATGAATAAGAACTATACTTCCTCTACCCAAGGACAGCCATCATTATCTGCGTTCTAACGTCAAGCCACCTATTTTGTAAATGGCGAGTCCGAAGAAACTGCAGCATTAATGAAGAAAAAACATCGCAGCAGATTTCCTGACGCGTGCGGTCGGGGCCGCGGACGAAAACTAAATCACGTACATTCAGAGCGGGGAAGGAAGAGGGCGGGGAGGAGCGGAGCGGGACGGGGCGTGGCGAGGCGGTCGCAAGCGCGAACGGAATAAATCATTGTGTCGGCGAGAAAGGTGAGAGATTCATGGAGGACCCCATCGCTCCCCCCCCCTACTGCCCCCTGGCTGGCCCGCCGCCAACGCCCCCGTCGCCGCCGTCCTCCCCGCTGACCGAGGGTTTCTCCGCAACGCACTCCGCCCGACCTTACTTGCGGAGATGCATCGGCTCTCCCGAATTCTTACTTCAAAGTTCTCGAAAAAAAAAAAAAGTTCATAGGAATAGACTACGAAATGCACAGCGGTAAGTGTCAGAATCAGAAAAAAAGGCTTCCAGCGCCGGGATTGCACAAACTTTCTCATATGCGTTCGTTGGTATTATGAACATCTCACGCAATTTGTCTCCGTGGCAGAATGACGAAGATGCTTTTTTTATTTTTGCGAGGACATGCTATGTATTGCGCTAGGCAATGCAACGAGATGAAATATACTAATTTATCGCGCCTTTTCGCAATATTTTGTCAGCGAGGATTCAGCGAAATCGATTTGTAATATTCTGTTGCGTAAAGCCTCATAACGCATACATTTTCGAACTATCACGTTACATACATCCTGTACGATAGAATCGCGAAGCTAAAAATGCAGTAAAATCCAAGAAACCAGCCTTGCGGTGACGACACGCTCCGAAGAGTCGAATCGCAGCGCTCCTGGCGGCAGCACATCGCACCCGGCTCGTTTTTGTTTCGGAAGATCGCTAATTAACAGCACGAGGTCGCGCGCGAGTAGGCGCTACCTATCCGTCACATCCCCGTCGCCTCCGCCGCCGCGAGGTTCCCCTTTCCGCCACTGGAGGTCGCGCGCGAGCGCTCGCCGCCGCCCGCCGGACGCGAATTTACGGTCTCCTAATATTAGTGCGGCTCTAATCAAGACATATTCGAAATTTCCACTTGGATGTCGCGCCTCGAGGCTTATTTAAACGTGGCCCTTGCACTCGAGTGACCGGCGCGGCGCGTGTACACAAAGATTCTTTTGACGGTTGCCAACGTCGCCGCTACATTTGCGCCAATGCGTCAACTAGGAGAATTCGTTGATAACTGCGCGCGGTTCGCGCCTCGGATTTACTAGTTCGACGAAAAACCTTCCCAGTGAGATATATTGCCAGCACCTGCAGTGATAGTTACAAATTGGGATTTACTATTAACGATTTCTGTATTCTATTTTATTAATTACATTTTTCACCATTAGCAAAAATTTTGTTGCAAACATTCCCTTTCGGACTGTTGTTCAAAAAGTATGTTAGAACTCTCATGTTTACTTCTTAATATCCTGGAAGTATTCTTTTTCTTTATGGTGTAATTCATCTTGTAAATTTTTCCGAAATGCATATCTTATTCACACTTAATTTTTACCAGATAAAAACACGTGCTTTTAGATACATTTTAATTACAATGGTTTCATGCAACTCAAAGGCAACTGCTAGCACATTCCTAAAATTGAAAGTTATTTTGTCATACATACCAACAATGACTGCGATATAACAGTTTCTCAATGTGAAACGCGTGCACACCAAATTACGTAACCTCGTTTTCGAAAGCTTGACAAATAAATCGCTTCGGCTCACAACGTCACACCATGAGATCTAGACGACTAAGCAAATCGGTCCGGTCCCAACTCGTTAAGAAAGCCGTGCGGCCTGAGCAGGCTATCTAACTCTGCTTGGCGCGCGGTTCCCATCCGTTCGCCGACGTTTCCGTGGGAACACATCAAGCTCGCGCGTCCAAAGTGCGCGGGCGGGGGACGGCAATTAGCAGCTGGGCGTCGTGTGAAAAGAGACAATATCAAATGGCTTCCCGCAATATGTCGCCACGGGTTGTCGCAATCTGTCGTCCCGCCGAAGGAAAAGTTGGACGACCGCCCCCGCAGACAAGATGGCGGCCACCCGCGCTATCGCGAGCGTGGGAGGGAGAGAAGTGAACCGCGACGGGACGCGAGGAATAATCGACTGCAAACTTGCGACAAAAACGTGGGAGGGGAGGGGAGAGGGAAGGGTTCTGTGTCTGCCGGAGGAGCGCGAAGTTTCAACGTAGTCTCTCGCGCATACAATTGACTCGGTCTCGCAGAAGAACAAGAAGAAGCAATGACTAACGATTAAAGTTCATTATGTCTTTGTTGCGAGTGTGTTTTATGCTCGATTGCCATATTTTCTCTCCGAGAGTTTCGACATCGTAAAAAGCCCCGTCGACAAAACGTCGTTTTCGCGTATAGGAGGCGCTGGAAATTCTTCTGTCGACACGTAGACATGTCGATGTGAAGTTGAAATAAAAAAAACAAACTAAATTATGTTCCTTCTTGTATCCACTGATGATCTTTTGTAAGAAACTTCAATACATTGTCTTCCGTTCTTAATTTCGAGGCCGTCTTCCTGTCTTTACCACGCTTTCATTCGCTTATGGAAAATGATTTATGAGACAAAATCGTCATCAGCTTAATACCCCAACTTTTACCACTTCCCTTTCCGCTTAGATCCTCCTCCTCTCTCCACGCGTACATCCTCCCGTTGTCAGACGTTTCCCTTTTAAAGGTGGAAGAAATAAAGTTGCATTTTTATTGCATATACATAGATGTTGATTGTCTTTTCCATCGAATAGCTAATGGATGTTTCACGGATAACTGGTTTGATAGACATCTACGAAATAAAACCATGTGAATATTATGTATCCTAAATCCATCTACGTTTCTGAATACTTTCAAGGCAAACATCAGGACAGATTCACCTGAAACATCTAGGATTTTTGAAGAGGACAATGTACAAGGAAATGCTCGTATAACGTAATGAGACAGTGAAGGATGAAGAGAAACACACAGTGCGAGTTGTGAAGCCAAAAAGCGAGTGATGGTCGAGAAAGGAAGCGCCCGCAACCGCTCATGGGTACACTCTGGTTCATCTTGGGTTATCTAGCTTTGGAATGAGGTAGTTTTCTATCGCATCACAAATAATAAAATCATACAAATTCTCCAGTCTAGTCTTCATTATATTCGCCGAACAAACATCACTGAAAACGGGTGTATGTGAGCACCCTAGAGTGTAAACGAATAAAAAATGACTATGATTGCAGTAAGAGTAAACGGTGTATTTTAAGTACAGTAAAACAAGACTCTCTCTAGATTTGTAGATAGTCCTAATCGGGGCTGAATACAACTGAAGGTTTTAGTTCTTACACTTTTGAAAGTGTCGGAAATTAGGGGCTGACTGCGAACGGAGAGCGGTAGCCAGGCCAAGGCGAAGGTGGAGAGGCGAGGGGCGGAGAGGGCTACCGCACCGACAGCGTGGCCTTACCTTTCTTGGGGATGAGCGACTTGAGCAGCAGCACCGCGTTCTCGTCGCACGCCCACGCGTGCATCTTGCGATAGCTGTCGCGCCCTTTCTCCGTCAGCTTGTCCCAGGGCTTGGGCTTGGACAGCAGCTCGGACACGGTGCCTTGCGACAGCCCCAGGACGTACTTGGCGAACAGCCGCTGGCCGATGTTGTTGATGGACAGCAGCTCCCGCACGCGCCGCGAGATGTGCAGCGTGTCCAGGTTCTGCGTGGAGTACTTGTCCATGTTGTAGCGCAGCATCTCCTGCAGGCGCGCCTCCATGGGGTCCCCCTTGGGGATGAGCGACTCGCCCAGGCGGCCCACCATCACGCCCGCGTCCTCGGGCGTGAAGCGGAAGGGGCTGCGCGGGTCGTCGAAGCGGAAGGGGCTCTTCATGCTGTCGTCGTTGCGGAAGTAGCTGAGGCCGCCGGGCGTGCTGGAGGGGGGCGGCGGCTGGATGATGCTGTTGTTGTTGACGTTGGGGCTGCCCATGCTGAGGCCCGCGCCGCCGGACAGCAGGTGCTGGTTGGCGTTGCCGCCCGCGGCGGCCGCGGCGGCCTCCCGGGCGTCTTTGGGTTGCGTTCATCGAGGGGTGGTGGTTGAATGGTGGTGGTGGTGCAGGAGCCGGGGCCAGAGACGCCGTCCGCCGACGTGGGGTGGAGCGAGGCGGGCGGGTGGCGATTGGCCGGGTCGTTGCTGACGAGCGGCATCGAGGGCGGAAGCGACGCCGTAGAACGACGCCGAGCTGGGGACGAGGGCGGCGTGGTGCGGCTGGCGGGCGACGCGACCTCGACTTGACTGCGGCGGCGGGGCCGGGGCGGCGCGCCGGCGGGCGCGCCGCTCCGCGCCTCCGCCCACGGGCGCCGGCGAAGGAAGAACGAGGGCGCCGTCGCGTCGCGGGCGCATTGTGGCGAAGTGGAGGCTTAGCGCGGGCGGCGCGGGCTGCGGGGTGGGCGGCTGCTGAGGCGGCTGCGGCGTCGCCGGTGCTGGGCGGCTGCTGCGGCTGCTGTTGGGGGGGCGGGGGGCGGCGGCGGGCGCGGAGCGACCCGCGGGAGGCGGCGTGCTGCTGCTGGTTTGGGGGCCGGGGCAAGAGACGCGCGGACGGAGAAGAGGAGACGACGAGGAGGAGGAGAGGGAGGTGATGGGCAGGCCCTGGCTGAGGATGGTCCGTTCAGCGAGCCGCCAGCATTGGCGACGAATCTCCTGCGAGACGAACGAGCCGAAAGTCTCCGTCTGGAGCGCGGCGGAACAGCATGCCTGGGGCGCGGCGGGGCGGAAGGCTGGGGAGGTAGCGCGGTGGCGGCGGCGGCGGGTGGCGGCGCCATGGGGCCGGAGGCAACGGGGGGGGCGGGGGCGGACGACGCGCCGACCAGGCCCGAAGAGCCGAGGCGGGGCGGGCGGCCACGGCGGCGGCGGGCGGCGCGCGGCGGCGGGGCCCGGGCGCCGGAGGCGGCGGCGCGGCGAGGCAGGCCGTCCAGCGGTGGGACGGAGGGGGCGGGGGGTGCCAGGTGCGTGCGCGTCTGCGAGGTGAGCGGCGCGCCCCGGGAGGACGACGCGGCGGCGCCCAGGGGGCTGCCTGCAAGAGAGCGCGGGCGCCGGGGCCGCGGTCACGCGCGGGCGGAGGGGAGCGGGCGGCGGCCGGCAGGGCGGCGCGCCGTGGAGCGAGCCTGTGCCTCTGGACCCCGAACTAACCCTTGCTTCCAAATCCCATAGAAATGCAAAGGTCTGCACTACTTTACGCGACTTCCCTTAATTCGACTTCCCTTAATTTCGAAATTCAAAAATTGAATTATTGCTGTGTCGTTAATGGTTATGATCCCGGTCATTCCATGTTCTAAATAATTACTTACGTATACTAGAAATATTATTTGTTTACACGGTGTTTAATCATGAATATTTATGCCTTCGCGCAAAATAAATATATATTTAAAAATATAAAAATCTCGCAAAGAAACCGATGTCCTAATGTTTCACTCCACGACGACGACGCACCATACCTTTCCCGCTTCTTGCAATTGCCTACTTTATCACGAAAACTACAAATACACACATATATAGGAGCATTTAGTAAATGAACACGACATCTAATACGGAATGTATAAAAAACAGTAAAATTAATACGAATAAAAATAAACTGTTTATTAGGGGTTAAACATTGCAATACTTACTACAAAGGAAAATTAAACATGTTTTTGATATTAAAAGGAGACACACATTCAGGAAACATTGACATACCGCACTACATTTCGAAGCGGTGTACAACTAACTACGATCTTTTGCGGATGTGGGAAAACACGCTGTCACAATGCAGATACATCCGCTGACCGACTCTAGTTTCACTTATTGCGCCGTTATGACATTCTCGCCCAACTAACACGAGAATACAACCTCCACAGATCGCATTGACAAAGGAAGTTGTTTAAGTGCAGCGCTAGGAGACCGGCGAATACGGACAGGTGGAGGCATGCGCTACTGCCTGCTCGACTCACGCGTCGCGGTCCGACGTTTCGCAACAGCGGTGGCATGCAGCGTTGCTAGGCTGGTGCGTGCGAGGTATTTCCTTGCCAGCAGATGCAGGGCATGCACGAAAGCCACAGGGGGACACATTCAGAGGAGAAAGCTCTACATCAGCGCGCCGGACCGGAAGTAAGGGCTGGAGGCGGTGGCCGGTGGCGCTACGTGCCGGCAGCTCGAGCGCTCCGAAGGGCGGTTGGTGTTCGGTGTCGGCCTTCGGTGCAGGGGGAATTCAGGGTGCGTAGGGGAGAGAGTAAGAAGTGAGACTGGTAGAAACAAAATATTTCTCACAAACATAACATAATGATTGTTTTTATAAATATTGGTCTTAAGTCGTAATTGGCAATCACGTATAAGATGCATCCCAATTCACAATGAATGGATGCTATTGTGGTGTTCGTTGGTGACAATGAAGATGCCAGTATTCCTCTTAATTGTGTGTTATTGCACGTAATACAAAAATATGTGAATATACGAAAACATGTGACGGGGAAATGTGTTGGCATGAAATACTATCTACAAGAAATTTTTTTTAGATAAGAAATAAAAAATAAATTCATAATTATTGCTTGAATTAATTAATGGTTTCGCCTTCAATTTCGAACGTTTCTAATCACTTCACGCTATGGAGTGGAGATAACCTCAGAAAATATATTTAGTCAATTTAGAAACCATCGCTATATAGATAACGAGATAAGGAATGTAACTTGGGCCTCACGAGGAAAACAAAAACTGGGATTTTGAGGGCGAACGACGCGAGCCGATTCATACAGGATGGTCAAATATTGCAAAGAAACGTGTGTTACAGGTTGCCTTTTGAGCCTGCTAGTATTTTCTAGCGTAATCTATAAAAGTCTACATTTTTCATCTTTGATATCTACTTCATACTCCCCCGGCGGGATTACCTATGCAATGATAACAAATTTACGGTTTTTGTGTCCATGCGTTTTGTAAATCAGATAAAACCGTCGCTTTTCCTTTGCATATTATTTGACAATTGATAAATAGAATTTGCATACGTATAAAAGGCCAACAAGCCATGTATCGTAGAAAATATGTTCAAACATATTCACTCTGCGTAAGAATTTCGTAAAGTAGAATTTAATTTTCATGGTGTAATTATTGTAACTACAAAACTATTGAAATAATTATGATTGAAAAACATACTTTAATGAAAAATAAATCCACAAAACAAGAGCGAACATAATAATAAATTTGTTCGAAAATAGTGAAAGAGAATTAAGTGTTTTACCGCCAAAGTTAGTACCCAGTAATTACAATGGTGAAAATCTTCATTTTCGGATTCACGTGAGAATACTAATTCCTAACCAGCTCACACAGCGAACGATTAACAGAGTCGTAACAACCCCAAAGCGTTTGATTGGCCGCTCCCAGCTCCCACCCTCTCCCGGAGAACCACGGGGCATCGCGTTGTTTGTGGTCGTGCTTTTCCTCTGTCGTTGGGAGGCTGCGGCCCGCGGACTACTCAAATGCTCATGAGCAAGCGATCGCGCCGCGGTGGGTGGGCGGGCAGCCGTCACACCGCCGCTCCGGGCCACGGGGGGGGGCGGGGGCGGGGAAGGACAGACCAACAGGAGGGGCAGCACAACGATCACAGCAAAACACAGGCAACCATCAAAACAGCAGGGGAGGGGGGAATGAAAACACAAACTGGCAATTAAGTACAAATCAATAGTACTGCAATTAAACTGTAAAAGAACGAAATCTTTAAATGAAAACACTGAAGATTTGCATCAGCTCACTACATCCACACACGCTACACTATCAGTATCCTCCGCATGCAAAACATTCTAAATTCGAGAGCTGGAGGACACAAGACATGGAACGTGGAGGCAGGATAACACAGCATCCTATCACAGTAGCGTGCCGATTACGGTTAAGAAACTAGGCAACGTTTTGTTGCTTTTTTCGAGAAGGATCTGTAATTGCTAATGGAAGGAAATTATTCCCGTCGTCCGGACGGCGGCGATGGCGCATCATGCGATGAGTGCCACTCAACTGGATGAGGGCGAACGCCCATCAAGATGGCGTCGATAGAGCGCGAGGCTACCGTGCAGCCGAGCAACGCCGACCACGCACTGTGATAGGACGGAGATCCTTCCGCCATATAAAAATCACACGGATGCAAACAAATGGGTGTACGACACAGGGTGCTTCAATATCGTCATTTCGTTCATCTCTTCGTTCCATCTTGTGGCCACAGTGGAATGACAAATTAAACAAAAAATAAAAGAGCGTTTTAGTGCTGTATTGCAATACTGAAAACCGTGTTAATAAAGTTTACAGATTAGTTTACAATCGTTTATGATGAATTTGTAGAAAAAACGATATTGAAACAACCTGGATGTTTACAAAATACAAGCGGGCTTCAACGTTTAAATAAACCACATAGCAACAGACGTGCGCTCTCGTTCACGAACAATTTCTAGTTTTAATTTAAATTTACTTACGGAATTTTATGGATTTATTTACTTCTATTCATTTCAGTTTCGATCCATTGGCAGAATTTTCATTATTTTGATGAAATCGTTATTATGCATTGAAAGCCAGAATTAAATTACCTTAAAATCCATAATTTTGCCTCAGCTAGAAGTTGATTAGATTTTATAGACAATTTCCCAAAGAACCAGTCATAAATAAATTCCGGGAACAAAACTTTGTAGTATTGTAAACATTACGTAATCGCCAGATGCAGGCTCCAACAACGAACCACGCGTGTTTATAACGAAAACGAACAATGAAACAAAAGAAGAGGACGACAATTGAACGCGCAACACAAGACGGGAAAGCGTCGTCTGAGTTCTCCGCGAGAGAGCGCGCACCTCGGCCGCGTGGTGTGGCTGTGGGGCGCGGGCGGCGCTGCTGCCAGCGCGGGGCGTGGGCGGTTGCGGGGGCGGTGGCGGCTGCGTCCAGGAGGCACGCACCTGCGGCTGCGGCGGCGGGCGGCGGGCGGCGTCGGCGGCGCCGGACGCGGCGGCGGCCGCCTTGAGGGAGTTCTCGGCGGCCTGCAGCGCCTTCGACCGCTCCAGCAGCAGCAGCTCCAGCGACTTGCTGCCGGCGTCGGCGCCCGCGCCAACTCCCGCGCCTACGCCGACGCCCGCGGCCCCAGCGGCAGCCGCCGCGTGCGCCGCCAGCGCGCTCGGGAACTCCAGGCTGCGCAGGATGCTGCAACACGCGCCCCTCGATCAGCACGCACGCACACACACAACGCTCAATTAAACAAGTACGTCTCAAAATGTGGGAAGCAAAGTAAGAAATGTAATTCAAATATAAAAATGAGTGCCAAAATGCATGTCAAAATAAGTGGAAAACAATGAAGATGCAAGAAAGAGAGCAAAGAAGAAGAGGAATTGCACAAAAATGGAGAGTTTAGGGCGAGGGAAAAAACATGAACATTTAAAAAAATGAACACATTGAAGTGAAGAATAATTTGAAGTATAGAAATGTAATCGAGATACAAAGTACAATATGATTTTTATTGTAACATTTGACAAGATATATCAGCATATCATTTTTGCAATTGTAACTTACTGTATCGATTTGTAAATTAGGTGACTGATAGAGAAATAATAAAATACACAAGTATTGTAATGAAATCTTTTTTTCCAGTTAACTAACGTTAAAAAAATACAATAAAATAGAGATATTCACAAAAGCTGAACATCAAATTGTTCAATATTAACTAATCGAACCGATGAATTGCAATGTGAATAGGCCCTGACGATGGTTCAATTTTTACTTGAGTGTCTGGCGCAATTGCGATTGCATGGCGTTTTTGAGGGCAACAATGGTCAATGCTCTGCGGCCTTCAAATACTTCGGAAATCCTGTCCCCCCTTTTTGCCACATTGGGTTCACATATTGATCGACAAAAAATGTACCGAAAAAATATTTCAATACTCGGAAACGTATCAATAAAATGAAAAGAGCGGAGAGGAAATACATTTCCGATAACTTTGTGCGATTATTTCCAATAGGGGAAGTAAAAAACGCAATAATGTAAATGACGTTCTTGGGCACATCAGGATTTCCACTTGGGTTGCTCGATAAAGTCAACCCAAATTCCGCATTATTAACAGCGTCCATTGCCTTACTGCAGCGCCAATTGCAGGAAGTCCATGCATTGTGTGTCCGTTAATCATTAAAGCATCGTATGATGTATAGCCGTTCGCCCGTCCAATTTGGAATTCGGATTTCTGCTTGCGTGTTCTCGGGGTCTGGCAGAGGAAAAAAAATCAACAACTTATCAGTCTTCTGCTATCGGCGCCACGCCGCACGCAGATGTCAATAGGACGGAAACCGCTCGCTACGCTTCGCTAGTATCGCGCACCGGCCTATCGGAGGTGGGCGTTTATTTATAACGCTATGTTTATAGCAATAGGGCACGTGAGCATTAAAAAACCGCTGTGAACAGATCACACAACCGCCCCGATGCCGTGCGTTGTTCGGCTTGCACGCGGCGCGGTGGCTGCGAAGCTATCGACGAGGCTGACGCCGCACGATTTTCAGCGCCCGCCCGCCGCCATCGGCGCCGTCGAGCTGTTATGTAAAAGTGCGAACGCCTCGCTTCTGATATCGCCCGCGCAATCGCCAAGATGGCTGCGATGCGGGAGGGGGCACGCACCACACAGTGCTCAACGCCCGCCTGAGAAACGTCTTGGGAACGAACAGAGCGATGCAGATCTTCGTGCCCGAGACAATTCTGATCTGAAAGATTGCCCCGGATAACTAATTCAACATTTTTTATGTAAATGTTTTCAGTTGGTTTGAAAATAAATAATTAAGATTAATTCACAAAATGTGTCGACGTAGAAAGTTCATATGTAGACGAAATTTTCAATCGCAAAAAGCTCACGGGAAAATGTCATTTATGAAACGAATTTTATCGAACATTTTTTTATAGAAAATATTTTTTTTCGAAAATTCATATTTCCTTACAACATTGTTACAAGAAAACAACATTAAAATCATTCAAAAGACTGGTTTGAAGATATAATTGAACCTTAAGCCGACGTCAAAATGATGAGGAGAAGAGAGTGAAAATAAAGAATGTACAAAGAAAATGGGAGATATGAACGGGAGAGAGAAAATAACCGATGTGCAGAGAGAGAAGAAGAAATGATAGAAACGTTCGAAGGGAAGAAATAGGAACGGTGAAACAATAGAAGAGTACAACAAAAAAATATATATGAAAGAAAAACAAATTTCCGCTCGAGTCAGAGCCAAAAGGAACGAAAGCAGAGGAGAGAAACAGAAAGGACCGAACGTAGAAGATAACACGAGCAACATAAAGAATTACACGAGAGCAAAACAAATTTCCCGGATTCTTCGTCGCCTCCCCGCGAGGGGCTCGGGCGGAGGGGCTCGTCCCGCGCGACGCGTGGACAGCGCGTCCTCAGCGGCGCGGCGCGACCGCAGAAACGCGCACGTTATCGCGCGCGATAACGCGCAAACGCTCCGCTGCATGGCCGCGCCGACCAAGTAATTACGCGCTCGCCGCGGCGCGGAGGGGCGGACACGGGGGCGGAGTGGGGCGACGGAGGGGTGGGCGAGGAGCGGCGAGGGCACCTGCGGGGCGGAGGGTGGTGACGGAGGGTGGGAAGGGCGACAGAGCGGGGAGGAGGTAGCTGTAGCAGCGGTGAGGCTGACCCGGGTGAGTGGGATGACGGAGGGGGGAGAGATAAGCGAGGGCGGAGGGCGAGAGGGGTGGCGAGGGTGGGGGAAGCACTCGGTCCGGCGCGCGACCGCTCCACGCCGCTGGAAGACTTTCCACGCGCCGCCTGCAGGAACTGCGGTCACTGCAATCGGATAATAATTGCCGCAGACGTTCGTATTAATTAAATCGGGACGGCAGCTCCATTATGGCGCTGGTCTATGCGCGGGAGTGGGACGCGCGGACAGTGGACAAGCGGACGAGGTAGGGGAGTGTGCCGTGTCTAGGATGAGATTAAGAATTTGAGAGAGCGTATGATCAAAGAAGAGGAGATGGATATGGACAGGCGAACACACGAAATAATAAAGTTTTAGCTTACCTTGGAAAGGAATCTTCGAATAAGGTAATAGCAAAGAATAACTTAAGAGAGGCAAAAGAAAGAAGAATAACATGGGAGAGGGCTGAAAGTAGAAGGACAGGAGAGAAGAGCAAGTAAGGGAAATGATTAGAAGAAAGGGCTTGTTGTATTGAGCTGGCACGCTGGTGTGGTGAAGCAGGGGCGGGGCGACTGGTCAGCAGCGGTCCATCGACGAAGAAGGATTCAAAGATCGCGTGGCTGCCATGGCGGAATATGGCGGTGGTGTGTCTTCTTGGAGGGGGCAAGAGGCGAAGTGCAGCACTTCGTTGACCTTTTACAAAAAAAGAAGAGAAGAGATGATAGAATCTCTTTAGAGACTCCAGGGTGAAGATCTGATTGAAGATTTATAGGGACAGAAGTTCATAGTATTCCCGTCATGGAGATTATTATTTCTAGAAAAAAAAGAAAAACAGGAAATCTAAACTTCGGAGCATCCGCTGTACCTGAAAGAGACTTAAAGCAGCTTCTAATACGACACCGGGGAATTCCATTTCCCGTCTGCAGATTCGTGAGTGAGATGTATACAATAGAATAGATCTCGAATGATGGGTCATGGTCGACCGAACGAGTATTTGAAAATAACACGAACATATTACATATTCATGATTTCAACGAAAAGTTCACGAACCAAGGAAAAATCTGAGTTACTCCGCATTAAGGAATAGAAACATACAACATAAAATAAATGGACGAAATGACGCTGGCACATGTTGCCCTCTTATCATGAAATACTAGTAATCGCGAAGTGCTGGAAAAACGGACAGGCGAGATACCAGTAGTGTGAAACGACGTGAATGTGAGACAGGAGTGATGACGGTGGTAGGCAATGGGCGAGGGGAAGAAAGGTGAGGAAATGGAGATGATGGAGGAGGTGGGGAGTAGTGGCGTGAGGAGGGAGAGGGGAGGAGGAGATGTTGGGGGTGGGGCAGAGGTTGTGGAGCTGGAGATGTGGACGAGGCAAACGAGATGGAGGCGATGGAGGGTGAGGGTGGTGAAGTAGAGCGGTGGAGAGGAGGGAGGGAGAGGAGATGGGTGGGAAGGGCAAAAGGTTGTGAGCTGGAGATGAGGAGGAGGCAGACGAGATGGGGCGATGGAGGAGGTGGGTGAAGTAGAGGCGGTGGAGGAGGAGGAGGATCTGGGATGGGGGAAGGGGCAGAGGTTGTGGAGCTGGAGATGGAGGAGGCAGACGAGATGAAGGAGGTGGAGGTGGCAGAGAAAGTGGAGGAGGAGACGGAGTTGGAGGCGGGCGAGGGGGCTGAAGAGGCCCACCCACCTGAGCTCCCGCTTGACGTCGTCGTAGTCGCGCTGCGCGTCGAGGCGCGCCTCCAGCCGCGCGATGTGCTGCCGCTTCAGCTCCAGCTGCTCCTCCAGGCGCGCCACCTGCCCCTGGCTGCTCTCCTGCAGCTTGGCCAGCGACGCCTGCAGGCGCGCCACGTCGTCCAGCAGCTGCGCCACCTGCAACGCGCACACCACACCTTCAGCGCTCACGTTCATTGCAATGCAATTCTTAATACCATTTGTATTTGTATCTTAATTTTTGTATGTATTGATTCTTTTAATTTTTAATTTTGTACTTTCGTTTTTTGATTAACTGTCACCGAGTGTACGCTCATTTGCAGTAATAAATAATAATAATTATTATTATGATTGCTGATATAACTAATACTCACTTAGCTTATTGAAAATGCCAAAAATAAATCAAGATATCTTCCCAATAATAGATTTATCAACATTAACAGTGCCAGTAAAAGTTTATGAATTTTATTTTGTGAAAGTAAGTTTTTTTTATCGTAGATATATCATTATGAAACAGTAAAGGAGCGCGTTTAGAGTACACTCGCGATACAATGTAACCCTTGTTAACTCCTACGTTTAACATAGAATTCACCATAGCGAATTATTGTTATCTTGGAAACATGCAGAAAATTAAATATGCCCGTCAGATAAAGAGGAGAGAAAAAACACACCACTTGCGAGTTTTACACAATTATGCGGCGGTCGAGACACGAACGCACTTAGGTGGTAAGACGAGACAAGGAGCGCTTAGGCGCCAACGCGGGCGGCGACAAGCTTCTCAGGTGCGTCGATAAAGTTGGCGCTGGTCCGCGCGATCGCCGCCGCCACGCAGTCGCGCGTGCGGGGCCTTCGCAGCCGCTTTGCATAATTCCCTTCCCTCGCGGTGCCAATTCCAGCTGCGCGCGCGGCGATGCCTTCTGCTGTTAGCGCTCATGCGAATTTCGCGTTCACAGATTCTTGGCATAATGTTAGACTCGAGGAATGGATAAGTTGCGCATATTTCTTTTTTTCTTTCTTTCCACAAAAGAAATGAAGTACGAGTTGTAGGAGTTGCAAATGTCGGGTTGTCGCGAGGCTTATTTTCGCTGTTTATGGGAAGAATCCCAAACAGTTTATTATGTTTATGGCTGAAGACTGTGTGTCTATGAGGTGCAGACATGATGAATCGTTTTTATATTATCCACATATTCGTCTTCATTTATTGTATGAAAAAATGGTGACAGAGGGTAAAAATAACACGATCTTCAAAGCGAGCGGTAGCTTAAACACAGTTGGTTCATTCATCAGAAAGAAAGTAGTACTTCAAAGAGCAAACCGCTTCTCGTTATGGCCGAGACATCATTTGACGAGTCCACCGCGCCAATCATTAAAGCAGCAAAAAACGCGGCCACAACTCTCTCGGAATCACTTTCACGTGGCTGGGCGCGCGCGGCTGGGCGCGCCAACAAAGGAAACGCGCGTGTGCCTCCTCCACGTGCCGCGCCGCGCCGCCCCGCGCCGCCCGGTTTCTCGCGTTTGACGTCCGCGCATGCTGGTGCGGCACCTCGCGCCCCCACTCCGCGCCCTCTTGGAAGAACGACCGACGTCAAAGCCCCTGACACATAAGGCGGCACACGTCCCGCCGGGCCTCCCCGCCTCCTTCGCCCGCCCCACTCCCCGCGCGAGCACAAATCCAGATTAAAATCCCCGCCTCCCAATCGCTTTCTGCTCTATATCGATTCCCCAGCCGGCCGCCCCCTCCACAATTTTGTGCTCTTTGCACTCCGGATAAGCGGAAAATTTAATGTGGAACATATTGACTTGATTAGTAAAGTTGTTCCGAATTAAGCGGAAGTTAAATTTCCTCTCGATTATTAACATCGATTTCCGAACGTAAACTTGCTAATGCGATCAATCGCAAACTCCTCTCTCCCTCTCGACAGCTCTCCGCAATTGTTGCAAAATTCACGTGCTTCGCCTCCTACTTCTCCTCCTACGCCGCCTCCCACAGGGTGGCGCGAAAGTCGGAGAGCGGGCCGCGGCGGTTCCGGTAGGCGCCGCCAGGGGCGCCTCGGAACCCAATTACGGAAAAATTGCCACTCGCGGGCGGGGAACCCCCGGGGCGGCCCGGCGATGGCCTCTTCAGCTCCCGCAGGAGACGTCTGATCAATCCGTGGACCCAGCATTCACCCGGGGCGAGATGGGGAGGAAGAAATATCCGCTAGCCTTTACGAGAATCTATTTAACATAAAGCGCCGGGCAAGTAACATAAAAACTTTCGTAATGCTTTGGTTGTAAAACATACGAAAGTTAGCTAGTCAATATCAACCTTTTACACATTTCCCTATTTTTATTTTATTCATTCTTACATAAATTCATGCCAAATTCTTCCGGACATTTCACCCGAACATGTAAAATGTGCACCGTAAACCTTTCATTTTATTTATTCCCCCACTAATACGGTTAAAATTTAATAGATTTTTACGAGAACAAATAAAGGCGGCCCGAACAAAGGAACAACTGTGCGGGGCGTTGGAGTGTAAAAGGAATATAAAATTAAGTTATTCGGTGTCAGTCTTGAATCGGAAGACTGACTCTGCCATCCGAGTGGAAAGACACGGAGCAGAAATGTTAAGACGGGGTAAACAGTTGGATTGAAATTCTCTAGAATACAAAATAACGTTGAATTGTTCTTAAATGAAAACTAGTTGGAATTGATTTCGAGCAATATTTATCAAAGGTAATTTTAAAATTATGAAGCTGGCAAAAACTGTCCTTCTACTAATAAATATGGTTCTTGATAAGAAACGATATGCAAAGAAAATTTTACACAAATAGTGCTGCCAAGAAATACTCGTACATATCAAGTAGTAAAAATGTAGAACAGACATTTCCATTTACCTTGATTTAATTACCAAAGAAAATTCATCATTGCCAAGTTTTACAAACACAAATGAAATCATTTGCACAGGCTTCTATTGAAATGGGGTTCGATCTGAATAACACGAGCGATTTCGTAATTAAGGTTCCCTCGAAATGACATTTCCGATTTCCGATTACTTCTGCGAGAATAAAAGGAGGACGTTTGATAACCACGAGGCCTCGCCACAAACAGAAGAGTAAAGCCTCGAAAAAAGCGCCAACGAGGGCGACGGGAACGGGGGGCAAAGGTCACGACGAGGGCGTCGTGGACTGGGAGAAGCAGAAAACCAGAATTCGATTGAAATCGAAAATTTCGCGGTCTGCTAGGCCGAGCGCCTTAATCACGGGGGTGACTGCCTGGAACAGCAGAACAGCGGGGCGCGGTTGAGGGCGACGCCAAATTTAGGTATACGCAACATTGGCGTGAAATTGATTTTTCACGTAACGACCTTTGAGGCGTAACTTTTCGTTCGGTGCTTTGGGTCAAATCAAATTAGCACACGCCGGAACCCACTATATTTCTCACCGTCCTCATTTCAATTTCGTCGTTGCGCCAAAAGGCTCCCGCTGTCGTCGGGATTTGTCCATCAGAAAATTCAATGTGACGCCGTTCATTTAGAGATAATGAACGCCTTCAATCGAACGGTTAAAACGATGGAATAAGAAACTGGATGAGACACCGACATAAGGATATTGCCAGTTTGTAAATAAGACACACTTTTAATTCGGTAATAGATTTTTAATTAATAACAACACCAAACTGAAGCGTGTGAGAAGTTTTCCTTGCAAGTTACTTTGCATGTTTGAAGTATACAGTTTCTTATTTTCAAGATAAGTAATCAGACAGAGTTGAACATTTTGACATGGTGACGCTGGTTTCACAGAGTGATACTCAAAAAGTGGAGCTCATAAATTAAAATCCTATCGCGCCGTCAGGTGTGGGAACTTCAAGCTTCTACTGCATTTGCAACGCATCAAGTCTAATTACACAAACGAAGCCTACCTGTTACGTAACTCGACCGCTGAACAGAACAAATCGATTCGTGCCTAAGGAAAACACATTGAGAAAACAAGCGAGTGCCGGTGACAAGCGGCACTCTCCAGGAGGCCGTGAGCGCTGTCGTGGAGCGCACCACCTCCCCTCGCGCTGACCGCCGGCAACACGTGCGAAGCGCGCCAAACGGAGCTTATCAAACCCTCCGCTAGGGGCGCGGATCTCGCCCCTCGTCTTGCGGCTGCCACCCTTACGTGGATGGGAAGAGCGAGAAAATAAAAAATAAAAAAAAAAGAATGAAAGAGGGAAGGTAGGGCGGACGTTAAAAAAAAGAAACGGGGTACATTAGACGCGAAAGAAGTGAGGGGGAGGGAGAAAGCCCGACCAGATAGCGCAAGGATACATATTTGAATTCGCGACCGCGCGAAGCCAATCTCTTCGCCGTATCTATGGTTTCCAATTCGAGAATCGTCCGCATCCGGCAGGGGTGCACAAGGAGATAAACGCGAAGAGGGAGGCGGGAGGGAGGAAGACCCGTCCGCTTCTCGAGGGGTGAGTGAGACGCGAAGGGGTTGGGAAAGCTATGCAGATCCGTCGGGGGGAGAAGGCCGAGCGGCGCGGCGTCGGGCGAATTCGCCGGGCAGAAGGGTGGAGATATCTCGCCCTAGCTCGGCCGCCACCGCCGCCCTGCTGCACTCCCGGCAATTACTCGCCTTGTATCGATGCGCACGCGAGTGGAGTGCTGAATCCATTGCACTGAAGAAGATTCGCGCGCAAGGACAGCGGTTTTGTTGCCTGTATAGGTGTTGTGGTAAGATATCTTTGGCATTTTAAAAATAATTAAAGATGTTCTCATTGCCAATAATGTTTTTTAATTCTATAGCAGCTTTCGATGGCTTAGCCATCATCATCAGTAGTTTTGTGGCCATCAGTAGTCGTTTTGTGATCATCAGTAGTCGTTTTGTGGCTTCCATCTAGCAGACAACTGATGATGATGGCTAAGCCATCGAAAGCTGCTATTGAATTAAAAAACATTGTTGACAATGACAACATCTTTAATTATTTGTTGCCTGTGCTTCGAAGAGTGTTTGATAAGATGTGGGCTAAAGTTGTAAGAATATTTAAGCATTCCGATTGCTGAAAATTAATTTCAGCACAAAAATATCGCAGGCATAGAGAGCGCACGGACATTTAAAAAGATAATATACTCATGTTATTCGAACAACGGGAGGATGATCATCTCTTCCTGTTTATTATGAAGGTT